CGTGTGCTCCACAGCAAGGTCGACCAAGCTCGGTGATTTGCCCGCGAATTAGTTTATAGTGAGAGTAGACTTGAGCAGCATCTACAGCACTCATCCCTCCTCCCCACCTGGGCCGAGTTTTCAAGAAATACTCAAAAAGATCGGGAGCGAGAGAGGGCGCGTGTTGCGGGCACGGCCGAACCCGCACCTAGGCCTGTCACCACATCCCCTGATCTACAGCAAACAAACACTTGACCAGGATTTTAACTAACAACAACGACACCAAAGCAAGGGTCAGAAGGGCGAGGATGACTGAGTAGCCATGCCAACGACCTGTATACCCAGCGGGAGCCAGGCGTTTCTACCGGCAAAGAACGGGGTGTCAGGGAACTGCCAGCGCACATCAGGCTGCAAGGGCCGTGGTTTGCTGATTCTGGCATAGCAGACGCTTACATACCTTGATCTTTAATATCTAATACATCTGTCCAAAGCAGGAATTTAATCGAAGTTGCATCTGGCGTCTGAAAACTTCCCGCACGGTGCCAAAATACGGTAGGTACTGAATTTGTAGTCCCACTAAGAAAATGGAGCACGGCGACTCCTGTTACTGTTGGTTTTATCGGTAGGGCAGATGAGCGTAGTACTTAGCGGAATCTGCGGAAGTCACTGAGAATGCTTGGATATTTGCCATATGATTGTTTCAGTTCCCCAGCAAGGTGAAGAATACGAACTTAAATTGCGTAAACGGGCGGAAAATAGTGCATCCATGGTTAACTGTTAATGATGGTCGGAGTGGATATGATGGTATAACATAGGCCAACCTAACTCTACACCCTATCACAATCCTCTTCCTAAGCCTAGTTTTTAACCTGGCCTTAAGCCTCACTGTAGCCCTAGCCCAAACTGTGATTATTTTCGCAAACTTGCCCCTAACCGTAGGCGTAAAATAGCATACCTACCTGAATGACATTAACGTCAAAGACAGGGGACTGGAATGACCACTACCGGTTTGCCAACCGTCATCAGTCAGCAATGCCTAACCGACAGGACAACATGCCCGTGACCCAATGGTTAGAGGGTCAGACTTCTAACCGAAAGGTCGTCGAATCGATCCTCAGGGGTCTCACACATTGGGGATTGGACGGGGCCGGCTAGTGACGGCTAACATTCCAGAAATGATTTTTCCAGTCCTCGTTGCCTTTGTCAGCAGTGTCATTTTGCCGTTATCATTAGCAACCGATCAGCTGCTGGCGGTGCTTGAGATTGAGCCCCGAGGCGCGACGTGATGAGTGCGTCCCTCTACCAAACCTATGCGAACGAATTAAGTAGGCATGCTACAGTAAGAAAAACCAAGGGCTACATATTAAATCGTCGCCGAAATGCTAAGGGATAGAGGGCCATAGAAGAGAGGACTGAACGAAGTACTAACATGCCCACGGAATGTGATAGTTATTCGACTGTTTGGGAATCACGGTGTCGTAATTTTATCGGCTTTCTGAAGCCGGACGAATACCGATAGTAGATGACCATGTGTAGGTCGGTCCTCGCCAAATGTCTGCTGGTTAGGTGAATATGTGCTAACAAGGTGAGGAGAATGAGTAAAATACAATTTAGTACGATCAGTCAACATTCAGACGTTGCTTCGGTCAGAACACTACTATAAGAACTGGCAATTTGAGTCCTCACGGTTTCCTTGCTGTGCGTCAGTCTGAATGCACACGATAGGAGATAGGCGGTGATGTCTGTGCCTGCACGTATTATATAGTACTGGTAACTTTCCAGGTGTGAATGGTGAGAAGTCCTACGGATCTCGGTGGTATTGCATTAAAACCCTCCATAAGACGATTGGAATAGAACTATAGAGTTCTGTTCTATAACGTTGCCCTAACTCTCTCCCCTTTCTCCGCACCATATTATAAAGCACTATTTGAATAAATACTATTTAAACAGGCCGTTTTTGATTGTTTGATCTCCAACACAAGTTAGATCATGTTTGCTCAAGTTCCAGATAGTGTATGCGAAAGAATCAACAGTCCCCGACCCTCACCCCACAACCAAAAGGTCACTCATAATGCTCAGATTTCCCCAGTTCATATGCCGGGTCAACGGACCAGGACTCGGTAAAAGTACGAACCCAGTCAAGTGAGGGCAGGAGAATCTAATGGCACCAGAAACTTTACTAGGACAGAACAATCTGTCCTAATAGGTGCACGTGTAACTGGAGTTGGCACAAACAGACCAGCAAGTCTGGTGAACGCGATAGTAACCTCACTAGTACGTCCCTATAATCGCCAAGGAAACATGCGCCTTAACTGATAAGCCTGTCTAATAGTGCCTATGATCAGAAGATGAAGATGCTATCACTGGAACAAAAAATTTATTTGCCTGACGTTTCGGATTCTCACTGGAATCCATCATCAGAGACATTCGCAGATAAAGGTCAGATAAAGTGCCCACGATGTTAGGTTCGGATATCAAACAGAAAAATCCGACAAATAAACTCCCATATGACTGATTGGGTAGGTAGACTCCTGTCCAATAATTACGCCGGTGGAGTATATTTAAGTGCCACCTTGCTTTATGAGTTCTGCGCGGTAGATTGTGCTTTAATGGTGCTACCTGCTTAGAGTTAGCTCAAACCAACCCCGTTCAAGAGTGTTTCAAATCCTACTTAGCTAGGCCTCAGACGCAACAGTCATCATTCAAAATGGGGATGTAACAGAACTGAAAAACTGAACGAATCTAGGCACCAAGCAAGAAAAATTGCCATTGGTAAACCGGTTGATTTGATAACTCCCTTTTTAGACTGAACTATCAGATTATGTTTCTTGGGATTTTCGATGGCGAAGAAGCCTATGGTATATGCCATATGATAGGTTTTAAGTTAGGGTAACATTGAAAATCCTCGTCAAAATTAGCCATGCCTAAACATGTTCAACACGTCAGCGAATTCATCAACATCAGACTTCAAACGACTAGGATGCAACAACGCAAATCCTGCCACTCTGGGTGTAAGAAGGCAAAATGAGTGAAAGAAGAATGCATAGAGGAGAACACGCCTTTTTCATGTGGAAGCACATCAATCACAGCTCAGATTTGGAGTTCTCGAAGGCAGTCACGGATAGTTTAGGGATACATTTAAAATAAGTACCAGCAATGATGGGAGAAGATAAAAAGTTAATATTTGCCATGGTTCTTGTCGTCAATCTCAAAAACAGATGGAAATGGCTGTCGATGTTTCAAAGTTCCCCCTATGTCTCGAAGGACTTGGATCAGCATCTCCTGAAAACAATCATTCGAACGACATAAACTTATTCCATATTGGACGTGGCGGCCGGCTTGGTTAAGAGAACCCGGCATTCGAACCTGAATTCTTTTGCCAGTTACTATATTAGTCAACTGTTGCATAATTAAACAACAAACTCTCCGCCACTCCAGCTGTTATCTGCAATAGTTATTCATAAGAAGGCGCCGCTGCGACGATAGACCACGAATGGTCATTCCAGTCTTTATTCTCACGTCGACACTTCTCATACTTAATCGACCGTCCGAAGATCGTAGGTTTTTCATTGCTACAACCAGCGTTTACTCATAAAAGTCGACTGAGGCTCCATGCGCTAAAAGCCTGAAAACAAGACCTGTTTTATGGAGTGTGCGGGTTTCATTCCGTCACCACGCCTATCATGATTTGCGTCCCTCTCATAGCATACTTTAGACTCCCCTTCCAAGCCCAAGAAAATAGGCTAATTGAGAGTTGGACATCCGCCACATACTTGGTAGCCGTGCTAAAGGAGCACAAGGGACCTGTGTCTCTTCACAGGGCAAAAGCAACTAGGTGCAGTTATGTCCAAAGCGAACAGACCTAGTGAACTTGTGAAAAGTATACACTACCCACCAAATAATCTAGAAAATTAAACGTCCTAGGCATACGAACCAGAGTTTGCGCAATTATTTGTGCTAACTGGCTTCGGTTATCTAAATGAAAATATTTTAATTTGGACAAACGTTATGCAGGAGTGGCTCTGATGAATTGCGCATGTTATTGCAAGACCTAGGGATAATTTACCCCCGTACTCCTGCCTTATCTAAAAGGGATATTTGCTGGCGGCCTAGCAGGAATACGCATTTTTAGGAGAAGTGAACTTCCGATTATGCCTATCGAGCACTCGTGTTCTGAGCTTGTGGATGCAGGTACAAGGCGTCTTCCTCATGAATGCACACCAGCCCTTTTCGTCATTGGCGTAAATATCAGACACATTGACCGTAACAGCAAAGGCCCCAAAGGGGTTGAGAGTGCGTTTTAATCGACTTTCTGGCTCTCATGGACCGCAAAACAATCCTTTAATGCCCGGTCTTCGTAAGGCACAAACCAGCTGCGTTGGCTGTTGATTTTCGGATTGGGCTGCAATAACCTGATCCAAAGGTCTCCTTGTTGAGAGCTGGTTTGTTTTTCTCCAAAATGACAATTATTTAAGCATTCAACGACCTGTGGTTGCAAACATTCTTTCTGTGTGATACGAACTGATGTAAATACGTTATTGCAAATTAGCCACCAACACTCATCGGGACAGTAAAATATCGGCAAATTGGAAGAACGTTTATAGACACACGGCGCTGAGAATCCCAAAATTTTATTCCAACCAAAATTCTTGGCAGTATTTTTCTCCCGCTCAGTAAATGGCAGACACAGGGCAAGAAGCACCTCCTTGGATTTTAACTAGACGCACAGGACGATTTATCTTCTACCATCCTACTGTTGGGTTTCAAGTTACAATGTACGCGGTCGTAAATTAAAGACTCTTATACACTGACTATAACAAAAAGAGAGTCATGGAGGAATATCAAAAATTGGGGTTTTCAAAAACAGGCTAGTATACTCAAGTTCGATTGTGCCATATGTTTTCACAATAAAAAGAAGGGTATGACAGTTTTTTAAAGTGAAAAACCAAAATCTTTCACGGACCAGTGCAAAAGCGCTCATAAAATGTGGAGCGTAAGATTGTTGTGACCAGGTCTATGTGTCACAATCCATTCTTTGTAATTTGCATAGCCTGGATGGAATCGAACTGCCGCACACAGTCCTTTACCTTATTAATGTAATACTGAGGATCCCTTATAGCAGCAAGCAGGTCGGGCTGAACAAAGTAAACTCCCTCCCAGAAGGCATGCTCTTTTCTCCTGACCCCTCCATCAGTTTTGTCAGAAGTGTCCAAGCAGATGAGGTCTATGCCATTTGTCTTGTCCTCATCCAAAGTGATATTGTCATCAAAAAATATGTGCTGAACTCGTATGTCCTTGGGGTCATACCAGAGTGGCTTGGCGGCCGTCTCCAGGTACTGGTGAGCATGCCAGAAGTTGAAATCATCCTGCACACCCACGATACCCTCCTCATTAGACCAGGACTCATAAATTTCCCTCGGTCTGGTCAAACAAGTGTCGCAAGTATAGTACCTGAATAGGGGTTCAGCGTCGCTGCGTCTGAGTTGGTTTTCCCTGAACGGTGGCCTATAAGTGAGAGGGATATTGGCAGGGATCCTTTCGGTCGGATGGAGGTTTGCAAAGTAGTCAGCAGTGGCACCAAGAATTGGAGGTATATCCATGCCGAAAGAACGTATGAGAACAGCATGCGGCCACTCCTCTTCAATCAGCCACTTAATAAGACGGAAGAATGCCGGTAGTAAATAATGGTAGCGCCTGTGATCATGGCCCAGAACAACGAAACCGGGTGGAATTTGGAGGTCATTTGGAAAGAGAAGAAGGCGCAGATGATCTTCAAAGATTTTTCGAAAGTCAGCACCATCTGGAGTTTCTGTAAAGACGCCCAGATGTTTGCGTAGTGCCCCTCGATCGTGGGAGAAGTGAACTATGAGAGCCTCCAGCACTTTGTATGCGCTACGTGCTTGGGGACAAGGGGGACGCAACGAGAGGGGCCCAGGAACCCGATGCCAGCTGGAGGGTAGCAAAGGAGTGGATTTTTTAAAGCCGGAGACATCTTGATCTTCAGGAGGGAAATGAGATTCCACGTTGTCCTTTTCGGGCGATGTCCGTAGATTTAATTTCCCATCAGCAAAACAGGATGTATTTGCCTCTGCAATTTACAGGGAAGAGTAATTTCACAATGTTTTGCACTGACCTATGTATAATTAATATTCGTTTTTTAGCAGACGGATGTTCTATTTGATATCCCACCTGTATTAACAGTGAAGCTAGAAGAGACAAGAATTGTCATTTCTGGCACACTTTTCCTCTTTTCCCACGAAGAAACCGGGGCTTACAAATTCTGATGTTATTTATAAGGCAGGAATACAAAACAAAACATAACGCTATCTTGAGCGATTTTGAAATTTATCGGTTTCAGTCAACAAAACGAGCTCATAAGATAAGTAATAAAGCATCTAGCTGAATCAGCAAATCAGCAAACCAAACAAATTTAAAATGGTCATCTATACTTTTCCTGTGTGCATCAATAATATGTTCGATTGTTGGTTGTTCTTCGCCATGTAATTGTCTGAAAGACCCCTTAACGCCTCCTCCAAGACAACATGTAACGAAAACATTGCGTCCTGTAAAACTGTTTCGGGCACGATTAGACTAAGTTAGACTAATACGTAAAATCCTGTCAAAAAAGTTAGAAACTCAACTTAGTCGACTGCCACGGATAGAGGATTATGAAGTATAGCACAAAGGAAACAAATGATTGGTTAATAACAGGCAAATGCGATTTTTCTGGCGGTTTGCGTTTTCATCAATTGGACTAGAGGGAATATTTTGAGCATCCTGGTTTCTGAGTCATGTACAGCGACCTTAATGGCATGGTAATTCTGCTGAGAAGCAGGGAATGTATCGAAAATTTACTGTTGTTTTGAAAAAAAACGACAGAAATATGGGGGACACAAATCAAAAATCGGTTAACGACATCGTTCTTACATCTTACCTTTGTCACCTGACTGCAAATTGTTTTGTAATTCTGCGTGATCCGGAGTAGGGTCACATACACCTTAATAAAATAATGAACATAAGCGTCAGATAAAACTGCTAAAATTTTGAGGAACACCTAATAAGAAACACGACAAAGTTCACGCTTAACGATCACGTCACGGATAGACTATTGCGTTGTTTATCTAGTCAACAGGCCGGTCCCGAAACTTTAAAATGCAAATATTGCGTTGCCAAATTTTTGGGAAAATGCAAATCTAAAGGTGCGTAACAGTAACGTATAAGTGTAACACTGGTTATACCCGAATCATAGGACATTTAAATTTTAACTTCCATATGGTGGCCTAATTCATGACTATGAATTTAAATTAAACAAATTTTGAGATCATAGACTAAATTAAAAAGTTAAGCTTGCCGAATATGCAAAACATAATTTTCTTGACATATTAATAGAAGAGATCTCGCGGCAAACTTAGAGCTATATTCAATAAGAGACGAATAAAAGACAGTGCAGCTCGCTATCTGGCCCAAACACTTTATATTGTTTGGCTTTCAAAAATGGCTAAAATATATGTACCATTAGAAAACAGCCTTTGGGAAAAATGGAAACTGCGCAAATAATATCCGTTAGCAATGAAATAAAAATCCCCCACTTAATATTTGATAAATAAAAAGATTAGTAAACCTATATTTCTATGAAGTGTATTTCCCCGAAAACGTTTTCTTCGTAACTCATCTGTCTACGCGGCAATCACAGTATTACGATCATGTTTTTTAACTTGATTTATGGAAAAAACTTGGTTTTTGAACACTGTGTGTTATTTTAGCGTAAGTTGTCGACAAACAGTTAATACCTTCTACCCAAAATGTTCCCATATGTAAACTGTCAATTACTGCGGCCTTGTACTTGGGAATCTAAGTAATTTCCGCATGTATTTTGTCCAGCCTGCCAATTGTAAACAATTTTCTGGAAATGACGTACCCCAAACCAATCCTGAAATATATGTGTTCAATGCTTGTTCAACAGATATTCGGGATTTTTTATCCGCCAAAAAGATGGTATTTCGACCGTCAAAATGCAAAATTAATTTTCTTTTGACAACACGCATTTTCTTTTAATTCCCTGTAAAATAAAATAATTTCATTTTTTGTCGGAGAATAAAAACTGCACACTGATGGAAATAACGAAATTAATCGAATTGAAATTTGATGACAAAGCTAACTAAAGTTTCTTAAATAAGAAGTCATTTACTATTTTGCTGAGATACCCAGAAGTGAGCTTATCGGTTTTTACGTGAAATATAGAGATCAAATATTGAATCTATCCCTACTTTCTTAGTGTTTCAATTTGAATAAAAAGCCGTTTGTTAATTATTCAGATAAAGTTTCCTTTAGATTTACAAATGGCAACAAAATCGAAGGATTGATCTTGTCAACACCAGCCCCCCCTAGCCCTCTCAAACCAGTACCGATACCCGCTTGGAACTTTTTGTCAATTTAAGGAATTCAGGTAGAGTTTAACGCAATGACCCCCTCTGCCTAAAATTTTTCACACAATTAAATAAGTTGTGAGTAGCAAACGAAAAAGACTAGAAGGAATCGATCCCTGCCAGCACATGGCCCTTTCATAGGCGGGGCTGGGAAGGGGCTGGGTGGGGCCAGAGTGCCCTCTGGATTGAAACATTTTGAAGCGTATTTGCATCGAAATGTATGTTTGAAAAGCAACTCATTGTACCTTCTTTGGCATTAAAAGGAGCTCATTTATCAAAAGTGACTTGTAAATCATGAAAAAGCATTCGTTTACGCCCACGGGTCGCGGATAATATCGTGCGTCAACCAATGCTGTTTTCATGCTCTTAATAACTGTCATAGTTTATTTATGTATCTTATGTTAATTGTTTGGGTATTTACTCATAAACCAGTTCAAGTAGTCGACTTGTATGTCTGTGCATGTATTAGTTAGCATTGATGATCATAGTCCACTTACACAAATTTTTTATCGTTTTTTACTGAATATCTAAATTAATTGTGAGGCATGATTACTGTGGCTCTCACCGAACCACCAGATGAAGGCATATTATGAGGCCACTGAAGGGCCTGAGTCTGAGGTTCCCTCAAAGTCGACGGCAGTGGACAATCAATCCCCCGAACGATAAATGCCTGTTCTGAGCTCTGAAACTTCTGCCGGCAGGTATTATGTGTGTGCGTCTCGGAGGATTCATCATATAGGTCGACATTTTAAAGGAGTGCCAAAAATGGGTGGAAATCTGGCGTCCCCTGCGAATTTTTTCGCTGGTGGGGCCAGGCGGGGCTGTCGTGTTGAATTCTCCGCCACAGCCCCTTCTACAGCCCTGCCAAGCCCCTTCATAGCCAAATCTAGCCCCGCCATATTTGAGTGAGTTACGCGAGGCCGGTGCTGGAAGGATTAATTATAGGTTGACTAGGCCCAAAGGCTAATTGGTCCCCTTACCAAATGGCCATTTTGCGCTAATAAACTTGATTCTCTGCTGTTCCCGTGTACCTGTGAATTTTATTTCGCCGGTGGGGCCAGACGGAACTGTCGTGTTGAATGTCTTGCCAAGGCCCCTTCCACATCCCCGCCTGGCCCCTTTATAGTCCCCCCTAGCCCGCCATTTTTGATGGGGCTAGGCGGGGCTAGGAGGGGCTGGTGCTGGCAGGGTTGCAATGAATAAAATCAAAACAATCACACAATGAATACCGTTCTTATATGTTTGATTGACGACTAAAAATTTCACTCAGTAATCTTTAAAGATAAAATATGTCGTAATCGCTACTGAACGTCATCTAAGTGGTCTCATCATCGTACGGGACATTTCGACGATGAGGGCTACATTATGGAGCTAATTTTACGCATTCCCATCTTAATATAGCCTACTTTAGAAGTTTAATACATAATTTAAAACAAGAAATTGCTAATGCATTAATCCGTAATGACGTTGGGCTAGGACCACACCTAGCCCAACCGTGGCCCAAAGGGCATATGCCATATATTCTACTACCATGGTATGGCAATACTGTACGTATAATCTGAGTAACAACCCTTCCATTAGGCATAAAGAACATTTATAATTAAATTATTCACAAATATATCCTAATTAGACTCATATTTTTGAAATATTGCACACATTCATGTACCAAATTTATTATAACTCGATGTTTTGTGATGTCATGGTTGAATTAATTAATTTCAATACATTTATGTGCCGGTTCTTACTTATAAACAAATATTCCTCGAGGGACACTCAGTAAACTGTTTGCATCCGTCAAAACGCAATCGGAATCTATATGCAGCAAACCCGGTATGTCGTAAAATGGATGAAGATTCAAAAGGGCGGCGGATACAAGGCTGTTAGAGAATGCTGCTTATGGGCATAAAGATGTATTCGAAGAATCCTCAAACCCTTGGGTGAACACACAAAAGATTAGATAAGGCTTATCGACAAGTAATGGTTCGCACTTTTTGGCAGTCATCATTTAGCAGTCGGTATCCGTAGGTAGAGTATGTTTTATATTATTGACAAAGTGCATTCCACGCAGATTGGGGACGAACGAGCAAAATTTTTCGGACAGTTGTGAATTTCCAAGAGGCCAATGGAAAAACCGCCCGACATCTTGCAAACTGAGACATTTTGTCAATTTTGTGCTCCTTTTTACTCCCGCCTACATCTTAGATTTTTAACTGTTGTGCGCAATTTCGTGGACAGCCGATTTTGTCTGATATAGTCAGACTAAGCGATGCGATTCTTGGCGCAGAAATGTGAGAGATGACGGTGATGATATTCTTACCACTATGTTTTGCGTCAAAGACTCAGACTTGTGAGATAATAGGATGAGTCTGACATCTGAACATACTGCATAATATAAAGTAGTGCATTCAGACATTAAAGTCTCTGAACTAACATCTACACCACGTCACGATAACTTGCCACTAAATAATAACTGATCCAAAGGGAAACAACTAATCTGACTTCGCAAACAAAAACATGTTTTTCTTGAGAGTGCAGACATAGTTCTTGAACTAATATGCAATGCGGTAAACTAAATTCATCAGCGTTCGTAGTATATAACGTACGAGATACAGGCTGCAGTCGCCTTACATCTTTGAATTCGAGTTCGTATAGTCATTTGGCAGAAAAGGTGATCCAAAAACATCTACAGCCTTGACCTATACCTTTGATAATGCTCCGCTTCTCGCGCCCATTCATACTCCCGACGTATAATTTTTGCTGATGAGTAACGCACGAGTAATTTTCGTTTCCCTGCTCTTCCTATACAACTTGCATTTCACTGATCAGCTCAGTGCTCGCCGCTTCAAGTAATGACAGACCAGTAAGAAATTGTGGACACTTATATTACACGTTTTACATATAAACGACAAAAACGCGAACGGATATATATATTCTTAATTCAATTCCGATTTATTATTTCTCACATTACATCATAAGACTGCATGCATTGATAGGGGCGAGAGATTTCGCGAATGGAAAAAAATGAGCAATAGCTCTCTCAGGCGAGGAAAAATTATGCATAATTTTTGCACCCCTGGATAATATGTTCCAAATTGTAGTTGTGTTCACAGAAAAGGACCGATCGTATTTAACGGAACGTGCAAAAGGGAAAAAATATCAAGAACTAACGGTAACCTTATGCAGATAGAATCTCTGCCAAAGCCTCACAGATATGTGGGTTCATATCGCATAGTATTTTCTTGCATAAATGAAGCTAAGACTTTATCATATACTTATTCTTCCTGTCCTCGAATACTGCTGTCCTTTCATTGGTTTAATGAACGCCTGTGACCGCTATAAGATCGAAAATGTTCAGAGGGTTTTCAACCGGAAACTGTCCTCTCAAGTCGCATTCGGTAGTTCTTACACTCAGAGATGTCAGTTGGCAAACATTAAGATTTTGTGAATAAGAAGACTCGAAGCTGGCCTTTGCTTCCTTTTTCGCATTAAGTCTAGCTCCAATCTTCCGCACACTGGCACTCTTGCTCCAAGAGATCCGCCTTATGCCACGCGCAACTCCTCCATGGTGATTCCGCCGCTTCTTTGCACTACATCTAAGAACTAGCTCATCTATGCCTTCAAATATACCTTCGTTTGGAGGAATCTTCCTATAGAAATTAGGTCATCGTCTAACTTACTGGTATTCAAGTCGAAGTTACGCAAACAGCTTACACCGGAAAGTATAAAGACACCTTTAACGGTCTCATTCCCGAACACTCGGCTTTTTGATTTCGAGAAGGGTTCTCCTGAGATTTAGTGGTAGATCAAGTGGAAACCCTCAGCAATATCCTTACAACCTCCTGTTTTTAATTGTTTACTTAATCCACTGCCATCACTACTCCGCCATAGTGAGGATTTTCGCGGTTATCTATGTCATCTCTTCATCTCGACCTAAACCGGTGTGTGGACGCTCACTGCGGAAGCCTCAGTATTCGCCGTCTACTAGTAATTTGGTCGTACCTCCCTGGCCAATTCCTCGGCTGGGCTCGAAGCGAACGGTGGCCGATGGCGTCTGGGTTTCTCTCGCTTGGCCACTTTGACGCGAATAGAATAATCCGGCGTGTGAGTTCTGCCCTGACGATGTCTGGTTTGAATTCCTTATGCAATACCACATGCAGGCCAATCCTGTTTAACCCTTAATGAATGACATTTTTTCCGCTCCGACAATGTCCGTCTTTAATCCTTTGTACACTGCCACGAGCAGGCCGGTCCAGCCCGAATTTTTGTCCTTTCATGAGCTACGGTGTTTTTCTCCCGAAAGTGCGATCTAGTTAATTTTCATATTCTATGGTGACGTTTTTCCCTGCTCGCTAACCATTTTTCTTAAAGGACTACAAATTCAGAAACTATGAATTACATTTTGCACATATTCTGTCTACCTCGACTAAAATTCATAAGAAAATTTATTTTTAATTGTTTCGATTGGACCCCAAAGGGTCTTTAATAAAACTTTTGTTATTACTATTTATTATTGTCAATTTTGTTATCTAACACTCACCTTTTGGACGCTGAAAAGAGACCTTCTGTGATTTAGACGTAGACGTCGAAAGTATTTTCATGTTCGGCTGAAAACCTACTTAATTCTTGCGACTCCTTACTTTTAACTAGTTAATAACTTGACCGGTGTCGTCCCCTGCACTAATGACCTCCACGAACTTTTTTACCGCACGGGAAAATTATGCACTCCCGGAGACCATTCCTCTGGAGAGAGTCTATAACTTTTAGAGCTTGGGCGTGATGAACGCCAGTCCATCTCCATCAGCACCAGCCGGCTTTCGCATTCAATCCCATGAAGTGGAAAGACGCATGAATATCGAGACTACTCAGGACAATTTAAGATTTTTTAAATTCTAATGCTCAAAGTTTCGTTTTGATAATCGACGGACTGAAAGCGCTAGTTCCAGAACAAAACCCCAGTATCGCTGTCATAACAAAAACGCGACTAAAAGTCGAAATATTGGATGCCGAGATTTCCATACTGGGTTACCAGCTCTTTCGCGTACTCCGTCAAAATAGACAAGTCAGTGAGTTTGTCGTAAATGTATGGGCGTAAATGTCGGCAATTGAACGATTTGAACCCTCTTCCTTGGATATGAATCCTCTCGGCTTAGGATCAAGAAGAGTACCGCAAAAAAACCATGAATTCCTGGTGGTTTACAAACCCCAAGCCTTCCGAGCTCAGCTGACGAGTCGCTCCTCAATTCGGTCCCAGAGGCAGATAAAAACCAAGCTGTTATTATTGGTGAAAATCTCAACGCACCAGCAATAGACTGGGAAGTCTGGCAGTAGACGGTGCGCCAACATCCTTAAGCCGTAAGCTAATGGACCTCACACTCGACTTCCCGCTGGCAGTGCATGCAAAGGCACCAACAGGATGTAGAGAAGACCAGAAAGTCAATGCTTCGACCTACTTCTTACGAGGTATTTCACTTATATTGGCGAAGCGTATTCCAGTGTACATGTCGGAAAGAGTGACCATAATACGCCGCTATCGGACTGTCGCACTTCTCTCAACGCCAGAAGAGAACAAAAGGCCAGCGAAATACATTGAAAGCAGATTTAAACATGAGGAAGAATTAATTGATGTCCGTGAATTGAGACTGTTTGCTCAAGGCGCGCAGCGCAATTTCAAAGATAAGTGAAGCTCTGCATTTATCTCGATATTCTTAAGTAATTAATGCCTGTTTTTTACTTGAGTCCCTTTTAAAAGTCGCCTTTCAATAAAAGGTAAAATTTTTTCCCAGTTTTGTTTGACAGTCTGGCAAAATAGTCGTATTTTGTAAAAAATCGATTGTAGTGAATCCTTTCCCTACTACCGCTCTCTAGTTTTTGTAGTTAAATAACAGTAATACTTGCTATTCAGTGCGCTTTTCCGTACGTTGAAAACGTTTTGATCCTTCTTCTGTAACGAAAAACTTTTTTTTGTCTGTAATGCCCTGCAGAGCACGTGCTAAAAGGCGAAAGCTTGCGGCCTCCCCACCGTCTCTGGGTGCTAAAATCGTGACTGAAGACATAGCAGGTGCCAGCATATGTCCTTCGCCGTCTACAGATCCTATTAACTCACAAATCCCTTTAGTACATGTAGAACCTCTCGACGCTTCAGTCGTCCAAAAATACGCCTCTGCTAGTCGTAGGAGGCCATCAGCCGGCGAAATAATCGTTCAGCTGATTCATGGCGACATAAACAACACTTCTGAAAAAGTGCTTGAACAAACTTTTAAACTTATTGGGGTAATAAGTTCGGAAACTGAGGAACGAATTAAACGTAAACATAATTTCGTACTACGAAACATTCCGAGCAACTTATCTGCTATGGAGGGAGCGCATTTGTTCCTACAAAGTTGTGGCTTGAGTTTCAGTGTCTCACAAGCTAAGCGAATTCGCTCGCTTAGCCGTAATGCGCCGATACTAGTTACCCTTTTCTCCTTGATAGAAGTCGATTTTATCTTGTCGAGTAGGGAGATGACTAGAGACTTCTGCCGTAAATGGCGCTGCTCCGTTTCGCCAGACCTCACACCCCTGCAGCGAAGACTGAGTAAACTAAAATCGGCAAAAACCAACACCAAGATAATGACACCTACTGTCAGTCTGAATAAGTCCTCTACAACACCATCTGCGGCATCTGCAAGTCACGGCATAGTCAATTCCGTAGGGAATTCGACTACTCATGATGCCGAAATCTTTAAACACACCATCACGCCTGGTATAAACACGCCTCTATCGAATCTTCCATCAACCCACAGTAAGCCTAAGCATGCGCCTAAGTCAAAAGCGCATCCAACTGTCGTCTCAGCCACTCGGACGCCGGGTAAATCTAGCGTCAGTCTAAAATCTTTTCATCCAAGATCAGCTAACAGTGCCTCAAACACCCCGACTCAAAAAGTAGCGTATTTCTAACTGCCCCCAGCACTCATATCGAGGCAGTTAGGACGAATATGCCGATATTCCCACCGTTTAATAGAACTCATGCTGCAATGGAAACAATGCGTCCCACACCCCGCATAACTTGTTTCCTCCACGGCCGTCTTACCAATGTACTCCTCATGCTAATGTTCATACTGGGTCACTTAACACATCCGCTCCTCAGATTCGTTCCGGCGGGGACGTGTTGCAGTATCTGGCCCGCGGACCTCCAGCTGAAAATAAGTTAGCTAACAATGGTTACCAGTTTACCTGCCCATCATTGCCTCCCATAAGTCCTACCCCTTTTTATCCACGTCAGAATCTTTTGATGCCACAAAATTTTTGCAGAACCAGACAAGTATATCCGGAAAGATTTCTCCGAGGGCAGCCCAGAACTGGACGACGTAGCCCACCTCCCTCAGAAACAAACAGCCTTTCCCCTCAGAACGTTTCTTCTAAACGTCAGATCCTTCCTAAATAAGATGCCTTTGCTTCAGATTCTGGTGTTCGTCCATCCTCCAGATATTGTTTTAGTAACTGAGATGTGGGCATCAGCCCCAATAGCTGACTCCGAACTCACACTTATAGGCAGGGGGGGGTCAAGGTTAAGCAAACACTTATATTTCCGCCGCTTGACCTCCCACATTCTTCTGCAGTAGAAGGCAGCTGCTGGCTCCAGGTTGCACTAAAAATAAGTTCTCCTTACTCGTTGGCTGCGTCTATCGCCCTCCCAACGCCAACGACAATCTTGATCGTTTACTCTCACAGGCATTTCATGCCGTGGCCGACTCAAGCTCTAAGTATCAATTGGTCGCGGGTGACTTTAATCTCCCTGAAGTCCGCTGGTCTCCGCCTTCTGGCCCCAGAATGTTCGAAGACATTCTTGAGGCTGTGGATGTTGGGATGTGGAATCAGGTTGTCGATTTTCCCACCCGAGGCTCAAGCATACTTGACCTAATTTTCTGTAGAGGCTGCATGCCATCGTCAGTGTCATCCCTAGGCCCACTCGGGTGCTCAGACCATGACATAGTTGCTTCAACGTTGGAATTCGAGGCTGACAAAACATTGTCCCCAAAGTATAACTTTTTCCGCGATTTCCGATCAACACGCTCAACCGAATTATTAACACACCTTAATTCCTACGACTGGACTGATTTCTTCCTTAGTTCGGATGTGAATGTTTGCACTGCAAAACTGTACGAAATTTTGGATCCGCTTATTTCTCGTTTTGTCCCCCGTAAGAAAATTATTAATGTTGGAGATGATGTTTTCCTACCCTTACCCTTTCGTCACAGAGTGCGCAGGCTTTATCGACGTTTCCATCTTCAGAACGATGTTGCTGTTCTGCCCTTGATTTGTGATATTTTTGATCGAGCTAAGAGATTGGTTGAAGAAAAACAGCTAGCCGAAGAGGTCCAGTTTACCGAAAATCATTCGTTAAATGTCTCGAAACGTTTCTCTAGAAAAATACGAACTCATAGAAAGACGCAGCATCCCATCCTCCGAGACGCTCTCGGAAATCCCATAGTTGATGCCCAGTTAACAGCTGATAGCTTCAATGATTTCCTGTCCAAAACGTTTATTGAAGACTCGACCACTCCGCTTCCAACCATCCAGGCACTGACTGGGACAGTTCTAGAAACTATAACTTTCACTCTGTGGGATGTGACGGTTGCGATTCGGCGTCTTCGTCAATCTTATAGTCCAGGCCCTGATGGTGTCCCAGTAAGCATTTTAAAAGCCGATGCAAATACGATTTTCCCATCCCTCTTATGCAAGATATTTAATATTGCTCTTGAAAGTGAAACTTATCCTACCTTGTGGAAGGAACCACACATTTTGCCCACTCCTAAGCATAGCCAATCTACGTCATTTGAGGACTTTCGGCCAATAAACACCCTCCCCACCGTTTCGAGGATCTTGGAGACATTGACAAAGATAAGATGGTGTGTCACTTAACAGAGAATAACCTATTGAGTGCTGCTCAGCGTAGATTCCTCAAAGCTCGATCTTGTGACGCCTGTGAACTCTCTTTCTTTGACTATGTTCTCCAATCTAGGGCCAATAGTTTTGCACTTCACACAGTATATTTCGATTTCACTAGGGCTTTTGATCGTTTTGACCATGCTCTTCTTCTCTTGAAATTGTCCTCTTTCGGAATAGGTGGCAAACTTTTGAATTGTATATCCTCTTACCTGGGCACTCGTACACAACGAGTTATGATTTCCAATACAATCTCCAACCCCACACGTGTGAGGAGTGGAGTCATTCAGGGTAGTGTACTCGGCCCGCTTTTATTTTGCCTTTTCGTTAATGATGTACCCGATTTATTTCACATTGGTAAGCCTTTCATGTATGCCGATGATCTTAAAGTTGCATATCGATATAAGCCGGCAGATCGTGACATCGTGCTTGAGCTCCTAAATAGCGACCTACAGGCTTTCGCCCAGTGGTGCCGCACATGGCGCCTTTCTCTTTCTTGGCATAAATGCTCAGTCATGGTGGTTGGCGACGACCGCCAGCCTCAACTAAAGGTGCCGAGGGTTATAAAAGATCTGGGCATATCATACTCCAAGAGTCTCAATCTCTCGGAGAACTGTGCCTTGATAGTCTCCAAAGCACGCAGAAGGACCACTTTTATCCTCCGCAACTTTAAAACTAGGGACATCAGAATTCGCCTTTACAACATGTACGTTAGACCTGGTCTGGAATACTGTTCGTTTTCATTTAGCCTCATACGTGCTACTGAGCGGAAGAAAATAGAATCCGTTCAACACTTTTTTACCAAGAGAATTTTAGCCGCGCAACACCGACATTTGTCTTACCAAGAACGTTGCCGGCTTACAGGCCTCGATCCTTTATGGTTCCGTAGATTACAAAAGGAACTATTTTTGCTATTTAAACTCTTATATAATCACACATTTAACCCACTCACTTCTTTAAGACATCATACCCACCCACGACGTAAGAGTCACCGTGAGGTCTTCTTATTTCTGCCTCTGGCACGTACTGTTAAATATCGTCGGTTCTTTTCTGTAAATGCAATTGCTCTTTGGAATAAACTACCCATGAGTGTGAAAACTCTGCAAAATTATCCTTTATTTAAGAGAACTATTACTCGATTTTTGCATTCAGAAAAGCTCCCACAAATTTTAAGTGCTGAAAACTCTGATCGACTGTACCGTATCGATGGCGTTTGTGGTCTCTGAACACTATGGCCGGTCTCACCAGCTGTTCCTCAACGCCTCTATTTTGGCTATCCCCAACTTCATGAAAGGAATTTGACGTCCGAAAATCTCCGATACCGTGCAACCTTCCCCCCTTCTTGACGGTCGATATTCTACCACCGCCGGCAGTTTTTTCTCCTGAGCCCTCCAAAACATAAAAACCACCATCAACTGTATTTTTAGAATAGGTTTATTGTTGTAGCGCCCCTTGGGCACTGTCAGTCCCCTTTGAACTCAGGAAAAAAACCTAAAACAAACTCGTCAATTTCAACTGCACTTTGACTTCATTTGCTTCGGGTGTCTGGTTAGCCAAAAGAGCGCGAATTGAGAGTTTNGGACGTGGGGAGATAAATCAAGGGTATTTGTATAGCTGAGACCTAAATCTTTTACAGATTGGGTCTCTGTTATTTCATCATCCTCGAATATTATGGGGGGAAGTTTTTGTGGGCCAAATATCAGGAGATGGCATTTTTCGGGTGAAAAGGGCATCTGCCACTGACTACTCCATTCGCTGAGTTTTCTGAGATCATTTTCAATTGTTCTATGAATATTGGCTACTGTATTCCCGTTATATGCATATGCAATTTTAAGGTCGTCCGCATATAAAAACGTCTTAGCTGAGACAGATATGGACGATAAGTCGTGAATATATATAAGAAATAGAAGGGGGCCTAGGATAGTGCCTTGAAGTACTCCACTGGTGATAGGGGATGGTTCTGAAACGACGTTTCGAATTTGCACCACCTGGTATCGGTTTTGAAGACAAGATTTAAGAAAATCAAGAAGGGGTGGCCTAATTCCATGACTTTTTAGCTTTATCAGTAGTCTTTTATGGGGGACTTTGTCAAAGGCCTTTCTTAGATCGAAGTATATTGAAGCTACTGTGTTTCCGTCATCTCCCTCTAGCTCAGGAGTTTTTTTCACTGCTGGTCGGATTTATGTTTAATCGCTTCCCTTGACAATGCCTGTAAACTGGCATTAAATAAAAAATTTATTTATTTATTTATATTTACGGAAGAAAAATTGATGGAAAATATACAGGGAAACGGAATCGCCAGGGCACCTCGAGGGGCATCGTCGTCAACGAAATGCTGTCAAAAATGCATTAGTCGGGTCAGGAAGGACTATGAAAACAGAATTATCCGACAGGCTGAACAAAAACCCAAAAGTTTATTTCACTTTATTAACAATCGTCTGAAAAACCAAGACCGGCTGCAGTACTTAAGGGTAATAATGGTGTAGAAATAGGTGAAAATTGCACTAAATCCGAACACTTTTGACGGTACTTTGCCTAGGTTTTCATTAGGGAGGCGAGACTTTGGAGTCGCAATGTCAGCAATGCTGTTAAGACTGTTGGTCCCACGCACGAATCCATACTCTTACCGGTATCTGTCGTAGAAAGAGAGTTGCGACCTCTCAAAGACGCAGAGTCGTAGCGTCCAGACAGTATAAAAAAGAAATTGTTGAAAGAATTGCAAACGAACTCTTCAAACCACTAGCACATATCTTGAGTTCGTCATTCGAATTGGAGAGGCTGCCGTCAATTCAATTCAATTCAATTCAATTATTTTTATTAAAGACCCGTCGGGGTCCCATCAAAGCAAGTAAAAATAAATTTACATGCCAATTTTAGACGATGTAGGCAAAATCTGCACAAAGAACAATGCATAGTTTTCGAGATTAGAAGTCCGTTAAGCAAAGCGAAAATGAAAAAAACGAGGGGTGAAAAAAAAACTCCAAAGCAAAATTTAAAAATGATTGTAGTAATTTAACAGGAGAAAAAAAACCCCTCAGAAAAATAGCATCAGAAAAAAAGGGAGGACTGGCCTGCATGTGGCGGTACAAAATGGAATAAAGCCCGATATCAACATGGCCGAAATAGATGTCAGCTGTATATGGTATTGTGTAACGGATTTCATAAAATGGTACGTAGGCGGGTCGGTCAGGACTGGCCTGTATCGCCTTGAATAAGAAAAATAAGTGCCGAAATTGAAAACCAGTCTCAAGCCGATAGGAACCCAGATGCGGTCAGTTTCATTCAAGCGAGTCCATCCGAACATGGGGGAAGGGAGATGCGAACAAACTACTAGTATATGGCTAATATAGAAGGCTTCGCCAAGAGCATCGATGGAGCGCATTCAGTGAGGGCATCATGAAGATCAGGCCCGAGACGATAGGAACCCAGATGCGGTCGGTTTCATTCATCCGAGTCCAACCGAGGATGAGGGAAGGGAGGTGCGACCAAACTACTAGTATATGGCGAATACAGAAGGTTTCGCCAAGAGCGTCGATGGCGCGCATTCTGTGAGGGCACGATGCATGAACTAAAATAATTGGAATAATTAACATTTCTGGTGAGGGATCTTAGGTAGCGAGACTACTCATAAAGAAAGGAGACGTGAACAGATACGGAAATTTAATAGCGGCATGCTAAATTCCCGGTGGCCCTTTCTGAGTGTCATAGAAAAAGTTGTCTGGGAAGGATGAGGAAAATAAAAGTTTAATCGAGTCAGTATTCAGATAAAGGCGTAGCCTTCTCTTAAAGGTGTGTAGATTTTCTGAAGATCTTATATTTATTGGAAGGTTATTCCAGAGGAAAGTATACCTGGAAGCGAAAAAAGGGAGCGCTTAGAGGTGGAGGACGCTGGAAGAGGTATAATTAGAGACGAGTTGCGAAGATTGTATGGGCGACTACTAGGGGTAAGTGTTGAAATCCGAGGAAAATTTGAACTATGATTAATGCGAAAGAGGAGACAGAAGCCCGCTTCTAGTCTTCGAACCCATAAAAATTTTAGGTTAGTTAGTTGGCACCTATCTGTGTAGGAGGTATTGGGATGTTCCCTATCTAAAAGTTTCTTTGAAAAACGTCTTTGGACATTTTCAATTTTTAAACGACTGGCTTCATTCATCAAACCAAAGAATGGGCAACAATACTCGAGAATGGGAAGTACAAACATACGATAGAGCCTTAATTTAATTTCAGGAAGATAGAAATTGTAAGAAATAAAGCCACAAATCTGGGCAGCTTTGGCTGTAATTCTGTCAGCGTGCGGCGAGAGATCAAGATTACTAGTGTAGCTTAAACCTAAATCCTTGATGGTGGTACATTCAGTCATAGGTGTGCCTTGAAAGACCACAGGTTGGGGTAGCCTATCAGGTCCAAAACACATATAACGACATTTAGACGGAGAGAATTCCATTAGCCATTTTGAGCTCCAAGCTGAGAGAGCAAGCAAGTCAGCATGGATTTGCTCCAGGCAATGAAGGCTCGTAGATTTTTTGAAAGAATATACACATTTGAGATCATCGGCATAAATAAATGATTGAGAATGTTTAACTGCGGCTGAAATATCATTTATGTAAAGCAAGAACAAAAGAGGACCTAAAACGGTACCTTGTAGGACACCGCTCACAATAGGACTTTCACTGGAAAGTGAAGATCCCACCAAAACCTTTTGTTTACGATTAGACAGGTATGACCTGAGAAAGTCTATTAGTGGACTGCGAATTGCCATAGCTTCCAATTTAACCAAGAGTCTTTTATGTGGCACTTTATCAAAGGCTTTACTAAGATCAAAATAAATTACGACAACAGATAGGTGATCATTACGAAGAGAGGTAAGTAGATCGAGAAACGACAGATGACATGTTTCACAAGAGCGATCTGGTAAAAAACCATGCTGGGAAGGGCTAATAACTTGATTGGCTATGCAAAATTCGGTAATTTTTATGGCGATAATTTTTTCAAAGATTTTGGCGAGAGAGGGTGTTTTATGGACACCTCGATAGTTCTGTACGTCAGAACGACAGCAAATATCTTTTCGATTAACAAGGACGGGGCTCGCACTAGTGCTAGGAGTTACCGGCCCGTCAATCTCACCTGTATCTGTTGTAAAATAAAGGATACGATACTTTAGAATTAAACAATGAAGTTCCTGGAGCAGAACCACTTACTTACAGGACTACAGCACGGTTTCAGACTGAACCGCTCATGCCTTCCCAGTTTATTGTTCTCTACCGAGCAGTGGACTAGCGTACTAGACGAGGATATTAGTGTCAATTTCAACCACATCGAGTTCAAGGTGTTCGGCAGCGTTCCACACAAAGGTGTGATCTGTAAACTATCTGAAATTGGTATCAGAGGAAAGCTGCTGACTTGGGTCGCAGATTTTCTTACAGGGAGACCACAAACCGTGTGTGTCGATGTCTCGAAGTCAACCCCTAACTCCATTCTAGGTGATGTCCCCCAGGGCTCAGTCCTATGTCCACTGCTTTTCCTAGTCCATATTAACTGAGTACCTCTACGACCTGGAGTTAAGCGCCGTCACGTTCACTGGTGATGTTAAGCTGTAGAGAACCAGCAGATCTGACACAGATATACACACACTTCAAGGGAGTCTCAAACAACTGAGCAGTTGTTAGCTTGCTGGCTCCTAAATTTGTATGTGGACAAACGTGTGGACCCGAGACTCCGTACCAGAAGGATCAGTAAGGAGGATGACTGCTTTCGATGTCTCCTTGATGAGCAGCCCCTTTCAAATGTTGAGGAAGAGAAAGAACTCGGCGTCCTTATGATCTTCTCCCTTAAACCATTGTCACAATGTCAAAGGGTAGCTAAGAGGGTTTTATTTGCCCTGAGGCGAGAATTTGTGCAGATCGATAAGGAGTTGTTCGGACAAACCCATAGGATATTTGTTTGATCTCACTTAAATTATGCAGTCTACCTCAGGCGACTCTGATTCAAGAGGGATTATCAACACCTGCAAAGAGTTCAGATGATGGCTAGAAAGATAATCAAGAATATTAATCATCTGCCATACGAAATCAGACTGTCTAAATTAAATTTGTTTTCCTTCAATTGCAACAACTGCGCGACGACCTCATTCAAACCTACAGGATTGTCAGAGACCTTGAATTTGGACTAGACTTTGATGAATTCTTCTAATTGACAGGGACAGACCGTCTGCGTGGTAACCCCTTGAAACTGCAAAGGAAACTGGCCCATACGGATGTCCGACGGAACGCGTGCGCGCATAGAGTCGTTAAAGCATGGAACGGATTCCCTGGTGCGGTGCACTTTCCGCAAATGTTAAGTCCGTTAAATGCAGACTGGACACTCATTTTCTGAGAAACCACTGTACACGTGATAACGATTGTGTCAGTGTGGGCAGTTTGCGTTTGGCTCACATCGCTAGTTTTTGAATTTCCAGATTTACTGATGTAAAAGTTGATTCTATTGCTGTTTTGGATACGAGCAGGGAGCTCCAACACGAAAACCCTATTCCAATTTTGAATTAAATCAAACTGACTTCTTGTTTTAGCTTTGAGCGAACACCCGACGGCTGAAATGGGTTCCTCTCTTATGCAACATTTTCGGTAGTTTCCTCGGTCAGCAAAGAAGTTTCCTGGTCATATTTGTCGGAGCTTTGACAATTGCCTTCATTTCCTTTAACATCCGCTCCTCGTTCTGACCTTATGCGAACTGCTACCTCCTACTACGGGTCCCTCGCTCTTTCTCTCATCACTTTGTCAATTGCCTCAGCGGTCAGACGAGAAATACTGTTATTGTATCTATAGCGATCTTGCGGTTTAAGTGAGCTCTTCAGCTTTGCAAATTCCCCCCTTAGGAAGAATGTTTCGTCATGCAGCGGGCGCCAAATTTATCGGTCGTCATTATTAAAACAAAATTAAACTCTTCACATGTTCGTTTGTGTGTCCGGATATGTACTCCTGAATGCTTTTAAAACTTGCATTAACTGTATCCACATGCGTACTTATGAAACGTATACCATCGACATTCCGTAGACCACACTGACATTGGTCATCTCATGACCGACATGGATTAAGCGAAACGTATTCGACCATTGTCATGATCAACGTCAGAACATTTCCCAAATGAGATTAGCGACTCTGATGGCCAAATATTTTCGAAGGGCACGATTCGACCAAGACGGTCGCCGTGTACCTTCCCGTCGCACTAATGCTGAATACAGAGGGCAGTTCGCGATTTTCGACTATCGCCGATTCAACGGGAAAACTGATAATAACAAATAAGCCCTCTTACATCGAACCACCATGGGTGTACTGCCATCGTAAGGTGCGGATCGTTTGCATTTCCACGCACTGATGGTACGCCCAACGCTCCGGCTAAATTCAAACTGTTATCTTGGATAAGTCAGTGTACATAGCAAATGCCCAAAGGCGAGTAAACGATAAGCAGCCATACAAAGTCACAGAATCTCACCCAAAAACACCGGTAGGCAAACTCAACATGCACCTGAATCTTATAAGGGCCAAGCGAAAAATACCTGAAAACGATTGGTTACAGGTAAATTTGCAAAATGCAGTGACAGCGTGCTTCTATATCCAAGCAACAAAAACCATAAGCTAAACGTCCGCTTTCGACCAATCTTTGTGCTAAAAGCCATACCTATATACGACATTTATAAATGCCCTGATAAACATCTGAAACACGCATATCGAAAAAACTCAACGACGTCAAATTGGATCCAGCCGAATTTATTCAATATAGATAGATAGATAATTTTTATTAAAGACCCGTCGGGGTCCCATCAAAGCAAGTTAAAATAAATTTGCATGCGAGTTTTAGACGAGGTAGGCCGAATCTTTACAAAATTCAATTCATAGTTTCTAAATTAGAAGTCCATTGAGAAACATGATGATTGAGGGGCGAAAAAAAACTCCTTACAAAAAGTTAAAAATGATTGGATTGATTTTACAGGAGAAAGAAAACCCCTCCATAAAAATAATAACAGAAAAAAGCGAGCAGGACTGGCCTGTAGGTGGCGGTATATAACGGAATGTTGTCGGTCATCGTCATGGTAGCAATAAATGTCAGCCTTGATGGGTACGAATGTGGGTCAGACAGGACTGGCTTGCAAATGGCATTGTATAAGGGATTCACAATTGAGATCGTCTGGGCCTGATTGATACGCCGCGTCAAAGAGGCCAGACGAGAGGAACCGAGATGCGATCGGCCACAGCACGCTTCGAGCTCAGCCGAGCAGTGAGGAAAGGAGGTACGACTGAACTACTAGTAGACAGTGAATACTGAGGGTTCCGCCGTGAGCGTCGACAGACCGCATGAGGTCGGAATGCGGGAGATGACATCAAAAACCGCGAAAATTGTCGCTATGGGGGGAAGGATAGCGATGATCTAATGATATAATTAAGAGTTACCACTAGATCTACCACTAAATCCCAGGAGGACCCTTCTCGAAGTCAAGAATCTGAGTGTTCGGGAATGAGACCGTTAACAGTGCCTTTATGCTTTCCGGTGTAAGATGGCTGCGTAATTTCGACTTGAATACCAGCAACTTAGGCGATAATCTAATTTCAGGCGGAAGATTATTCCAAAGGAAGGCATATTTGGAAGCAAAGAACAGGGAGCGCTTAGATGTAGTACAATGAGGCGGCGGAATCACCATGCAGGAGTTGCGCGTGGCATAAGACCGATCTCTCGGAGTGAGAGTGTCAATGTGCGGAAGACTGAAGCTAGAGTTGATGCGAAAAAGGAAGCAAAGGCCAGCTTCGAATCTTCTAACCCACAAAAACTTCATGTTCGCCAGCTGACATCTCTGAGTATAAGAAATACTGGACGAAGCTTGAGAGAACAGTTTCCGGGTGAAAACCCTCTGAACATTTTCGATTTTATTACGGTCGCAGGCGTTCATTAAACCGAAGAAAGGACAGCAATATTCGAGGACTGGAAGAACAAACATTTGATAAAGTCTTAGCTTCATTTCCGGAAGGAAGAAATTATGCGATATAAATCCACATATCTGCGCGGCTTTGGCAGAGATTCTATTTGCATGAGGTGATAAGGCAAGCTTATTTGTGTAACTTAGACCTAGGTCCTTTATGGTGAGGCATTCTGAGAGTGGGTTATTCTGAAAAATTATGGGACCAGGAAGTTTGGTAGGACCAAAAGACATGAAACTACACTTGGATGATGAAAACTCCATCTGCCATGTCGAACCCCATCTGCTTAAGCGTAGTAAATAGTCATTAATTTTTTCAACACAAACATTTGCGGTGTCCTTAGAGTATGAGTATACAGGCAGTTCGTTTTGCGTCGTTGACCTGAGCATCCTTGTCCTACGAGTATTAACTGATATAGATTGGGGACCATTTTTAAATCGAGTAAAACAAGAATACTACTGATATGTACCGGATTCAGTGTAACTATGAACGTAAACTGCTGGTTGCCTTATGCACCGCCTGTCCGACCCGCATTTCGCTTAAGACCGACACGAATACGTGCGCAATTAATGCAGGCATCATTAACTTTTTCTTTTTAACAGTCCTTTCGCAACGAGGGGAAAGAAGTTATCCCATTGGAACTGGACTTTTCTACTTAGTGGATCGATATTGTCGCATTCTGTGATAGAACGCTGTGTTATTCCCACCGGTGTTGTTCCGTGAATGGAGAGGTAGCCATACTTCTCCACCATTAACTCGCCCGAAAAGCGACGCCGACTCCACATGCAAGTAGTTACTGGAATACGGCCAGCTGATAGTCCACATGAACCGCATTATACCCAGAAGTTAATGAGTTGGTGAAGGGAACCATGCGTTTACCAAATAATGGTCAAGTGTTCATTGTAGAAACGCATCAAACACACGACTGGAACATACGTCAACGGGTGGTGTGAAGGTATACGGAGACTTCATATTCATATCCCTGGAAACGTTTCCCTTCACTATGCAGAAAGCTGTAAGAGATCCCCACGAAGTTGCCTTTAACTCAAATGGAAGGGGTTCGGATTTACAAGGCGGGTCGCATAAGGGAAGGAGCTTTGATCCTTAACCATTTTCGTGGCTCACATCTGAACACTTTCAAGGCAATTTCGATCTTGAACTGTCCACGGCCTCCAGGCTTGTATGTCATACTCCAAGTGCGGCCGCACGAAAGTTCGGAATGTTTTTGAGAAAACATCTTCCGCAAAATCCATAAATGCACGCTTGGTGGGGTATAGCACGGACACTGCTCTTTTTGTCACTCTTGAACAGTGATTCATGATATTTATTCCGTGTTATGCACTGCTATGCATTAATCCGTCTATTTCACTTCCCTGGGTAGATCACTAGCAAAACTCGAACAGAAAAATTGGTTTCATCTTAATATGTTTTCATATTAAAGTCTGTCCTTTCATTCAATAAGCTGATCAGGCATAACGTGGTGGACATTTAACTAAACTCTTGGACAACATCGGAGATTGTATCTGGCGGAGGTATGGAATGCTGAACGTTTATACAAATGCTAAGCAGTCATTCAGAAGCATTAGCTTCCAACATAAAAAGGCGTATTGGATAAAACCTGTGCGACTGATATTGAACTGCCGGCCCAATTGGGGTACCAGAGTGACCCCTCTATTTAGAAATCAGAAAATTGCCAAGAAAACTGCACGCTCAAAATGCTGATAATAAGTCTTCGTAAGCAAATTTCAGGAAATTTAAGGAATAAAATGTTGGATACGCACATGGTATCACGAAAGGAATCAGTCAAAAAGGAGTTGCTTGTTTTACTACACCCCTATTAGTGCGGTGAAGATAAAAGCTAAATTCAAAACGTTCGCGCCTTTATTGGAAGAAGCGGGTAAGATGCGACAAGCTGTGCTTGAGTAACATACGGTCCACATCACTGATATACACGTAAAGGTATCTTAAAAGTCGCGTCGAGAGTAGCTGGTTACAACTCGCATGAATGACAATTGTCCGGGCGTCATTAATGACGTTACCTGTCTGCGATTCAGTGACACGCCCCTGGTCGATAACATCACACTAGCCCAGGACTATCTTCCAAAATTAGTCTGTGTCAGGCCAGTAGCTCCTTGCCCTGAGAACGTTCTAGTTGCCCAGGGCTAGTCCGGTTGGGGGATAGTGCTGCGATTAACGAACTTTTGTCAGCAATCTCGGCAGAAACTGACTAAACGCGTGCAGTAAGTTGACGCGTCTTTTCGGAAGAGTTAGGAACGTTGTCGCCGGAGGCGATTTAAGTCGCCGGACAGGCGTCTAAAGTTCCGGACAAAGTTCGCGCGTACACCCCTGCATGCGCGCATACGCGCGAAGGGACCACTCAGGGGTGACGTCCAAGATGCACTCGGGTGGGCATCGAGGAGGTGGTGTAGCAGAATGGCTCCTTTTCCCGCACAGGCCGACTGCCGTCAACCAATTAGATCTCTAGTCCGCAAATTAAACGGACTAGCAGAGGTCTAGCCCCCCGGTTCCTAGATGCTATCAGGGTGGCATTATTATCTCGGACTGTACACAGTCAGTCAAGCAGACCATTGACTACGCACAAGCCGGCAGATCTGAGCCGCTAGTGCAGGAAAAGGCGGCGGGTAGCACAGTGTTGCCAGGTGCTAATCGGAGTAATTAAGTTTCGCGGAGAGAAGCGTAGCAAATGCATTTGCAGGCACAAGTTTGACTTCTTCGGGGGTCGGAAGCTGCAAGTGGCTGCTCCAGTCAGGTGACCGGTGCTTACCAGCTTATCACTTACAGGGAGCGACTGCCTTTCGAGATTGCAGACACGTTTGGGCTACAACCTCGGAGCGTTTTCGCTAAAAAATTTCGAATTAGCTTGCATGCGATGACGTGTGCTGCTATGCCATCTTCGGTGTAACCCACCACAGAGCGGGCTTCATCGTAATTGCGTTCTTGGACATTAAGCGCGACAATGAACCGGTGGCTATGAAACTCCCGCGATTCAGAGCAGCCTAGGCTGTTATTTAGCTGAATTTCATGCACCAAACCCGTTATCGCCAAACAGCACGGGAAAGTACACCCATCGTCAGCTTTCTCCATCAAAAGAAGACGGACAGGTGGATAGTGGAATATTTGATAGGTACTACGGATTGCTAGCCGAGGTTGGGGGGCACGAGGTAAGAAGTCTGTCCAACTTACGGGCTTCCAGCACAAACTCCAATAGATGGCCTGCCACCGAACTTGCATGTAATCATCATTGCACCGACAGCTCCGAGTGTACGTATTCATAATTTTTCATCCGGCATATTTCAGAACACATTTGTAGAGCAGAACCAAACTCAATAGACACTTTTGGAAAATGCTGTAAGTGAATGCAGTATGGATGGAGGGCGCGATTCACGACAGGGGAGTTGGGGCCAAATTGCGTGTGAAGGCCGTCTGTTTGGGTCGTGGTCACAGTTGCGACGAAAGGTGCTGTCGGCTTGCGTCAAATCATGACAAAGAAAGCTTTTTCAATATGAGTTGGCGGATGTGACCGCCGGCTTGAATTACAAAAATGAGGTGTCTTGCAAACATGTCCCAGCCCTCCTCTCGGTGTAATCTTACTGCAAGGGGAGTGAAAAACGCCTCATTTGGCGCAAAGGCTAACTGTGAACCTGATACCCCTCATGAAGGTTGAGATGCCGGCCGTCAGCTTGACAATACCCGCTCTGAGTATTGTGTATTCTGAATCACTGATTATGCAGCCGGACGCTACTTACCCGACAAATAGGTATGACTGCGCGTCGTATCCAAATGTGATACTTGTAAGTACTAGCGTTCTCAGTCTGCTCTAAGTCGTTTTTAGCCAAGATCACACGATCTGTGTGTTTGTCGATAAAGACGCAGTGGAAAAGAAGGTCTCAGGAAGCATTTCAGGCAAATGAGATGTACATAGTGATGTTCACATTTCATACACGACGAGCTCTTAAGCCCAAGGTGCGCACTTTATCCGCAGAATAAAAATGCAGGACATTTGCTGCATTTCTTCCAAAATCCATTTATGCTGGTGCTGCCAATTTTTTAAAAATGGCAAAACATAACAAAATGATCCGTCGCCCTGTGGCCGTACATGTCGGGTGGATGGTGCTGACGCGGGTGCCTATGGGCCCGTTATACAGGACAACGGTGGTCGTATACTGGGACACACCTTACTTCCTACATCCCTTTAGTTTGTTCTGAATCCAATACTCCGCTACTCTTTTCGTAGACTTTCTTCGTTCTTTCCAATCTCTCGTTTTTGGCTGGTATTTTACTCGTGTTCCACCTTATCTGACTAATTTATGTGGCTCATGACATATTCGGTGGTTTAATTTTTGTTATTCTTATTGCCCTTTATTTCTTATAACACATACTGAATTTTTGCTTGGACCTACCTGCGACTGTCAGTGCCACCCCTCCCCTATGTCTCATATTCCTTCTAATCTTCGTTAACCTGTTGTCGACACCCATAAATTGTCCCCGCCCCACCCACTCGAAGTCGAAAATTTCTACGACTGAAAACTCTCGGTAGGGTAGTTTCTATGATGCCACTCCCCTGATCGCCACACGCCAGTGTTCTTTTGCTTCGAGGACAGCTTGACCCTCGCTGTTTTTCCAACCACTACAACCTCTCCTCTATGCGTGTGTCAGTAATCGTGCCTCGTAATCAGTTTCATATCCAAGCTCCTGCTGGGACGATGACTCTTCTACAAACGCCCTTCTACTCCTGGGTTGTAAAGGCTAGCCGAACACCAATGCTTTGGACCAAGTCCTCGACGGGTTTTTCTCTGGTCTCCGATTAAAGGGCATTAAGTGGCAGTTTCGTATTCGACCGGCAGCAGTTCACCAAACTTCTAAAATTTCTGAATCGGCTCCTTGACTTCGAGACGTTGACTGTATCTGCCACTCGTATTTGTACTTGATACGGCTGCGATCACGCCTGATCTAGCCGGCCTCGATGATGTCCCGAACTGTACTTCTCCACGCATGACGATCCGCGGCAGCAGATCTGGACAGCTCAACCCATTCCCTTCGCCAACGACGGAGACCGAATACCGAAGGTCCAGGAACCACCTCCGTGTGTTGACGAACTGTGTCGAGCTCAGTGTTAGGGGGTCATTTCAAAACCACTCGCACTTACCGGTAACCTGAGCAGTATCCCGCCTCCTTTTACTCCAAACGGCACGGAGGACTGGCGATGCCACCCACAGTTAAGGGACCGGCGCGACATGGAAATTTCCCTGGTACTGCCTCTCTTTTCGTAGTGTCTTCAGTTAACGCACTAAGCCGCACATACCACTGCCGGCCACCCCGCCACAGTCCTTTCCATCATCGAGCCGAACCTAAACGCTCGCATACCTCATTCTGGTTATTATGGAATCTGGCGAGAATGGAGGCAGCGCCTAGACTACCAGCTCATCAGGCTTACCGTATTGGAAAGTTTTGTAAATTTCCCGGATCGACGACCCATCTGACGCCTACTAGTTTTTCAACGTCGATCACTTAATCAGTTATTAGAAAATGTATGCTTGGAAGGAAAGCCGCATCTTGATTGTATTTATTTTCCCTTCTTGCTCGTACCAATCCAGTACTTAGTGGGTCTCTCTAGGATCACCTTTACGCGGCGAAATCTGTCTGACCTAAATCTCCGGGACCTCGTGTAATTGGATGTCATTGTCCGTGGATAAGGGGTCGTTTTTGATGTTCTTCATCTCTTCCTTCAGAGATCACAAGAAGCCGGTTTGATCATAAATCACAAGTGCTGTTTACTCCATCTGCAGATTACATATCGAACTTTTGTTTCCCAGGAGAATGATCCCCGACTTTATAAGACGCACCAGGTGCCGGTATGGCTAGCGCCCCAATCTCAAACCGGCGCAGTCGTCTTTACCTATGACTTCGCGAACGTAACACTTCCTCTCAACTGACGGACCAAAGAAGGCTAGTTTTTCGCGTGCAAAGCAGGGTGCGCAGGCCTTCTCGCCTCGAAAAACTGCATTGCCTTCTGCCCCATCCTAGCTTTTCCCAATAGGGACGTCCGCGAGCCCCACTCTTATTGGATACCGACGCCAGTGACTTCGCCATTGACACAATGGTCAATCAGAAAGACTTGGAAGGTTTCGTACAGCTTACAGCGCACATCAGACGACGCCGTGGCAAGGCTCCGTGGCGGGACTGCTGCAAACGTCCATTTGCTGCGACTCGTTACGTTCGTCGAAAAATTTCGACGTCTCCTTCATGCCAAAGTTTAATTGTCTAAATCCGCAGACGAACGAGTCGCCCGCACGGTTAACACATGGGTGAGTTCGATTTTGGATGTAAGTGCCAACCAAGAAACCGACCGACACCCTTTCCAGCCACCCGGCTCCCGTTAACCTCCGCATACATCAGTCCACTCGTTTTAATAATCAGCATATTCTCAGCAGCCAGGTACGATGGGCTTGCCCCAGGCTCCCCAAATTCACTAATCTCGACCGTAAAATCTCCAATTCAACCACATTTGCTGCTCCGGAGATGACTCGAGAGTCCACTGCATTTGGATGATGTAGCCCTTTCTTCGCCAGTCGGGACGTCCCTTTCTTTCTGCATAACCCTTCACTCCCCAGACTTATCGTATCGCATATTCCACATCATCCGCGAAAAGCTGGCCCATCGTTAGCAGGCCAAAACCCGCTGCTGATTATCCGATCTGAGACGTGATGTCACTTTATTTTGTCAGAAGTCAATGCGCTTAAATCATCGGTGTAATGTAACTTCCCCGGGAGACCATGACGAACCTTCTAGACACAATGAGCCTACTCTCCCTCGAAAAATCCTGCTTATCTCCCATTGAGTCAGGAGTAACAGTCAACCCAAAAGCACCAGTCAAATCTTACCGGCATTCTTTCACAACGTGGTATATAGACCCTTGGAATGCCTTTCTTCCTGTCGCGTCGACGTACACTCCCCCAATCTTTTTATAATTCCGATCGTCATGACCTATGCGTGCCCTCGGAGCCCACCATTCCCATGCCACACCTCCCGCTGTAACTTCACATAGATACCTGGAATTTGGTCTACTTCCTCCAAGCCATCCGCTATACGGAACGCACGCAGTCGCAGACTGCTCGTGCCCGCTGTCGGAATTAAATTCACAAACACGCGTGAGAGAGTTCGAACAATAATTAGATGGAAAATCAAAAGGAGTACCCTAGAGTAAGGCTTCATTCATCCTGTATCTGGAATGTCTGAAGTAAAACGTGAAATAGGACCCCAGTTAATGCAGTGGGAATGGTCAGAGCAACAAGGTGGCATGACACCCACCAGAATGACCATTACGATCACTGGGTGCACATTGTGGACAAGGCATCGGCAGAGGACGGTATTCGCGCAAAAATCGGCAAGTCTTATTTTCGACACCGGTGCCCTGGCCCCATGAAGTGGTTGAGAAGCGTGGAGAGATAAGGTCTCCTTATTGACTGCGGCTCGGAAATCTTTAGGTTTATCTTCAAAGTGGAGATAAGACAAGGTACGAGAACTCCTCCCGCATAAGCCTTATCGACTTTGCTGCAAAGGTCATGGCTGTTACCTTCCTCGGGCGATTCCAGGCCATGTGTGTTTCTAGGACGAGGTCCAACTAAGCCGGATTTAAAGTTGGGTGTGAATGTGCGGACCAGATATTCTAACTGAGGCGCATCCCTGAATTCCGCATAGCTACTAACGACGGACAGCCGTACACTTGGTTGATTTCACCGTCCGATCCCGTCCGTCGTGAGTTCCTGCGGCGGATGAAGGCACTGATAATGTACCGGCAAAAATTATCGTCATAGTCAAGGCCTTCTACCGCTCCACAAGTGCACGAGCCTTTTTTTCTCATTGCAATCTGTTCCAACTGTTCGATATCGTGTTCTACAAGGCTGTATCCTGTCGCCCCTTCTATACAACTACGGCACTGAGCGAATTCTCGACAGGGCTTCTCACGAGGCTGGTAGTGTTGAATTTGCACCCCCACGCCTGTTGGCCGATCTCAATTCCGCTGATGATATCGCCATGCTAGCACAAAGCTTTAGCGATCTACAGTCTATGGTGTCGTGAGTAAATAAAGTCGGCAAATCCGTCGGTTTGGCCATGAGAGCTGGGATGATCAAAGTATTTTCAAGCTGCATTCCTGATCTTGAGATTAATGGTAGTCAACTGGAAAAAGTAGAGTCTTGAATAATTTCGGGCAAGGCTGCCTCATCGCTATTTTGTCCGCCAGATGCCTTTTTGCATACGCATCTCTCTTTGAGGACAACGTCCTGTTCTCCCATGGAGTGCCTTGCACTTACCTCGACAGGCCGCCTTTGCATCACCCGATCGCGGTTGGCTGCTTCTCTTATCACTGGGATTTATTCTCCCCTGATTTTTTCACTCTCCCCGTTCGCACTTATGATCATACTTTTAGTCTACATTCGAATTACTAATTTCCCCTTTTAATATTCTGCCATCTTGGGACCTGGGGTCGCTGTACAGCGTTACGCCACAAGGAACGATGTCTGGCCTTCTCGAAGACTGCCGCCGCTTATTCTCCACGGACTGTCTATATGCTCTGTTTGATTGTGAGAGATCATGCTCTGCCACAGAACGCAAGACTCCCTTCTTGTACTAAAAGCTTTAGTTAAACGAGCATTCTACAAGAAGTCTTTAAAGTATCACCCCGACCGCCACGGTCATCAGAAGAAGTCGGAGGCCACAGAGCGGTTTCAAGTCCTTTCAGCTGCATTCCGCATCCTTAATGATAAGGAGACCCGAGCAATTTATGACGAGACAGGTAAGTGAAAGTTTAGTAATGTCTTTGTAGGCATCGTCGGAGAATCTTTCTCAGAAAAGTCCTTCAAGGACTGGGTAGACTATTGGTCTCTCATATTTCCGAAAGTTACATCTGAAGCTATCGCTGATTATGCTGCAAAATACCATGGAAGCAAAGAAGAACGGGATGACCTTATCGAGCTCTATAATAAGCATAAAGGTGACATGGATGCCATAATGGACTCGATGATACTGGCTGAGGCTACTGATGAAGACAGGATTCGAAAGTTGATAGAAGACCTCCTGGCCGAAAAAGTGTTGGAACCGTTAGATGCCTTCGTCAATGAACCACCCAAGAAGAGGGCGAAGCGCCTAAGGCGTGCCCTTAAGGAGGCAAATGATTGCGCAAAGGAAAAGAAAAGAGCATCAAAAAAAGATGCTTCGGCAGACTCCCTAGTCCTTGCTCTACAGGCAAACCAGAAGAGACGTCTTGCTGAATCCGAAAATCTTCTTGACCGACTGACGGATAAGTACTGCAAGCCCCAAACGAAGCGGAAAGCCTCCAAGTAACCGCTCCCGAAATGTGATGCATTTATGATTGTCCGAGCATTACATACCTTACGTTTCAAGCAGAATTGTATTTTATACGTTTCTTATTTCATTGACACATCGTCTCTTTATATAGTTTTCTCGGTCTCATCCTTCTGTCCAACGCTAGCGCGGTCATAGTACTCATTCTATCGGGTCATTTATTTTGCGAACGCCATGCGCCACCGTCGGGTGTGCGCTCGTACGTTGCAAGTGATCTCCGCGGACATTTATGGCATTCACAAGTAAGGTGTGTTAATACCGCTCCCAACAATAGTTAATTTGGTTTTGCGAAATCGCCTTGATTCTTCAACACTAGACAGCGCTCTTGCATATTCTGTTACTAACCTAGATGTAGTCTCAAGCAGTTCATCATTATTCACAAATAACTGATCCCCAAGCGCCCTAGAGAACGCTATCAGACTTCGTCTTAAATGATCACTTTTCATCACAGATGGGCAGCCGAAGGCTCCTGGGTCAGGTTTGGCTAAAACGCACCAGTCACAAGCCGTGGACCGCTTCTCAGAGAAACCCTTGCGGTGCGCATCTGTTGGACAAACTCATGCATTCGGCCGTTTGCTTTGGCGTTGCCAGTAACCAGCCTACTGAAGGCATCACGCCCACATGGCCAAGCCACTTGAGTCGATAGAATAGGAAGGTGGAATTGACGGGCCATCTTCCCGTCGGACTATAGTTATTGGTTGAGCACTGTTGGAGAAAAAAAATCACACCATGGTGTTATCAAGCCCCGCCGTGCGGTAATTCCCCAGTCGGTTTCTCAGCCAGAAACTAATCCGTTTATTGGCTGGTGGTGTTCGTACTGTAGGTCCAAACTGCACTTTGATTTTCTTAACGCCAGCACGCATCCCAGATCGTCGTAGAGAAGTAGACCTATTGGCAAATCATACATCAATTAGTCACAAAATGAGCCGTTTGGGACCATAGTTATGGACTCTGGGCGAGCGTAAAGTACCTGGTCTCGTGTTTGCCATCAGTGATCCACGTACTTTAGCCGAGGCAATGGCGTGACTAAATTATTCATGGTCTTTTCCTTCGGGCGCCCTTTCACTCTTTTTTATTGTCGGCCAATCAAGACTTCAAATGCATTCTTCAAAGGCTCTGATATGCCTAGGTCAGTCGCAGAACCGTCTAGAGATAGTTGGTGCCTCTTCAGCCGTCGGCAAGAAGACGGTCCACTAGTCTTAATCGTGAACAACTAGAAGAACAATCATTATGGATGAATACTTTAAGGGAGCCAACGTAAATAAGTCTGTCTCGAAAAGCTGGCGTCTCACTTGCCTGTCTGGGATTCTGCTGGGAATTCTTCTGGGTTTCTGCTTTGCCGCTGAGCTCCGGTCTAAGCAGGTGGTCACAGGACGACGGGCAACAAACAACCGGACCCAGTTTCAGACCTCGGGGCCTCCTGACCCAGTGTACGGTTTACTGACGACAGCAAACATGCTAGGAATGGCTACTTCCATCTTCCGCATCCTTCTTTGCCAGCCGGTCAGTACAAGAGATCAGTTCGATTTTGCTCCAGTCATCGCGTTCCAAAACGGACAGTCTTCTGTTATCGGCGACGGTAGTTGCCGTCGGAAATTTCACCACTTAGAACCTGGGCTTGACTTCCACAGCCATAAGGCCATACAGCCAAATGACTCCAGGTAGCTGGGCTTGTTCAGATAAAAAGCTACTGGATAAGAATTTCTATTAAAAAAACGAGTTATCACATAAGGGAACAGCTGCTTGTCTCAACCGAAGTATTTGCGGGCCAATTGTTGCACCTTCTTCTGGAAGAACGCAGAGCTTATCTTGGCTCCATGGACGAAGAAGGGATTCATGGACAGCTGAAGAGTTTCGATTAAAGGTGGACACCTACCCGGACATACGCCTCATAGACTTCTTGGAAGAAAATGCGTATTCTCTCTTCATTGGCTTCTTCGTGAAGAAGAAGGAATCTGAGTCGTGTGAGAGCGTTAAGGAGGATCGGCTGAAAAACTTTCGCGTTTTTGGTGGACGCAGAAACTCGAGGTAAATTGCGGCAGCAGCTTTGACGGGCATATTCGCTTACAAACATTGGTGATAAGCATGATAACAGTAACATTTCCCCACGGCAACGTTAGTGCAATCACCTGTCGCGGGGGCAGGCAGAAACTTCGATCAAGGAGCTAATTAAGTCGGGAATATGACCTAAGGGAGTCATCGTCCGTGGGGATGTGTCTAGTAAGAGGAAACGGCTCACGAAATGTCCCGAGCCAATTGAGAAAGAAGCCAGATGCATTTTTGGCTCTACTCTTTACCACGTTTCTGAGCCAACTTGGATCGGCAACATCTTCAACAGTAGGCGTCTTGCAAGTTTTCCACATAGTCCATGTTCAGCCAGATAGGGTGATGACTTACGACGCAACTTTCGATATATTCTTCAAAGATGGGCATCTGGGAGTTCGTGCAGGTGCATTTTAGGCATACATAGACGCACAACCTGGGGTTTCTCTGGCATTAGAATCGTCAGGGGTTGTGTTGGTGAGTCGTGTCAGATGCCTGCTGTAGAGACGGGTATGTTGGAGTCCAACAAGGTATATCAAAGAGCCATTGATTATGTAGGCGGTGGCCGGTAAAACTTGGATGTATGCTAGATAGCTTGTACAGAAGTTGCCTATGAAGGATTAACCACCGATCTCTGACCTATTAGGCAGACTAAATAGTGTCGAGTGACCAGTCCGAACGGTGCCTTTTCGGCCAGAGCACACGACAGTTCGGCCGTCCACTCCGACAATGTCCACCGTGTGCTACATGGCAAGGTGCAGCAGGCACGGTGACTCGCGCGTGAGTTAGTTTAAGTGATAGTGGGCTTGCGCAGTATCTACCGCACTCTCCCCTCTCCCATTTGGACCCGGTTTCAAGACAGAGTCAAGAAGACCGAAGGCGGGGAGGGCACATGGGTCTGGCGCGGCCGGACCCGCACACCATACCCCAAGTGGCCAGAGCATACAAAAACGCGTTCACAGGACGCTATGGCAAAGCGGTGCCCGGTGGGCATAAATGTTCTCTAGCACAATTGGGGTCGATTATTGTCAGTGGCGCGATTAATGCATTACCGGGCTATGTTAGTTGGCAGCACACAGACAACTCCCCTAGAAAGCTCCACGAACAACCTACGATCCGGTATGCTTGATGAGTGCCTCAGGCATGATTTGGGGGGGGGGAGGGGGTATAAAACATTAAAGGGCGGGCCGGCAATTCAAATTCATTTATCTGTAGTAGGAATGGGCCCATACGAGACAGCTAAGTGTACTTGTGCGAGCTTTAAAAGCCCGTAGTGTAAGACAGAAAAGTATAACCAAAATATTTTCGAATAATTTGCCTGTTAGGCGAAGAGGATATCTGCTGGTGTGACGAAGGCCGACACTAGCCAGTCGTTAAATCTGTCAACTACCTTTAAATAGGTAGAGGGCGTGTTCCACATGTTTTCATCGACCATATCCAGAGATGCGTGGGCAACAAACTGGGTTAGATAATTTAGATCAATCTGAACTTTGTGAGTAAGGGGATAAAAGCTCACCTTTTGCTCTAATGCTTTGGGTGCACCGGGCTGCGCGAGTTCGAAAATGAGATAGTCCTCATGGCTAACAATCACAAAGTAATAGGAGCCACGCATTATGATATTATCATCAAGCCAGTCACATCCGATATAGTGAGAATGTCCGGGAAAGACTCTAGATAACGGGAAAAGTGATGGAAACAGTAAGAAGCACGTCAAATGCGTAGAAGAGAGGCAATCATCTGGATACATTTGTCGTCTTTGACGTTGCAAGGAGAAAATATGACAGTTCATAACTGGGGACTGGAAAGTGTAACTCGTATTATATGGGAGTTCAACCCCATGCCTGTCACGTTCACTGCCGCAGTGAAGCCTAAGCTAGTTACTGGTCCCGGATGAACAGCCAACGCTTTACAATGTGGCTGGCAGTTCCCCGACGAGACTTGACTGTCCGCAGTTATATAAATCGTCAGATTCTCCTGTGACTGCGTGCTTGATAGGCTGCAGCGCCGAACTAGGTACTTCGTAAGAAACTGAGTTGGTGTCGGATAGCAAGGTCTCTTACGGGAGTTGTGCTGTGTAGATACGGCCTCGGCCAGGGACGTCTACCATGTTGAATTCGGATTCATGACCAACCCGGGTGACATGCATTGCCCCAACAGTAGCTGGATCGGTCTGCCGTACCGCTAATTGCCGTTTGTCTATCTTCGCCTTAAGTCATCGGTCGGTTGCTAGAAAGAAGTTACATTCACCGCAACCGATGAACAGTAGATGACCTTCTGTTTGAGAAGAGGCTTTCGGGAGCATCACTTGGCGACGGAATTTCGGGGAGTGCATGACGGTAATCTCAACCATGCGTAACCTGGCAAGTGCGGAAACAATACTGCGCCTAGTTTTTACGGTTGCAATGACAAGCAACGAAGTGGACTGGTTGGTTCTATCAACCCATGAGGCCGTCAACCCCCACCCCCAATGAGTGGTCCTGGATATCCGGTAGATCGGAGTAGCTCCTAGAGGTAGGCGAAGCGTGACATAGAATAATGAACACGAAACACTATGACGTCATATATGACACGACAAGGTGCGGCGGTCGAAGAGGTTGCGGGTAGTACACAGGGACTGACGCAAAGCACCGGGAAAGGTCCTAAACACGGCTGTTAGACACGTCATCATTCCCATTGAAGTCGGATGGAGAAGTTAGACAGGTAAAACATATATACTAGGAACGGGGAATTTAGAATATCCGAAAACGATAAGTGATACAAGGACTGATGAGAGTGACACCAGGGGATGGGCGATCCGTTTTATGGGAAGGCGACGACGGCATGCCTGGTAAACAACCGGTCGGGAATGCAGCGTTGGGGTCAAGTGCAGGGTGAAGCCACGGGAGGTGCCGACACAGGACGTGATCAAGGTAAGCGTTAGGGTAATAGTTGCGGAGAGGGAGTTGGCGGTTATGCAGAGGTAGGGCACCGGCTATTTTTAACTACACGCGGTCGCACCACATTTACCATGGACCAGCTCCACGGATGTTCACTTTATTCAAACCCGATCCAGTTCGCAGAACTGTGGTGCGAAGATATGAGCGAGTAGGTCTCCTTTTTGAAACAGTTAGGAGAGGTCAGAAGAGTTGTAAAAAAACTAGGAGTAAGTCTGTTTGTCCTTTCTCTTTTCTAGTCCAGTCGCGCGATGAGTCAGATCCCCTTCCCCGGTGGCAGTCCCTAATCCCACCATCCCTGGACAGTTGTGAAGACAACACGGCTTCAGCCAGCTTATCCCTCTCCATCTCTGCGCGAGATTGAGCTCCTAGTTCTTATATATAAGAACTAGGACTAGAACTAGAACTAGCACATGTGTTATAACACATGTGTCATTCCGTCACTCTGTTGTGCGTCTGGGTGAATGTTACAGATACTGGTAGGAATAATGTTAGGAAGGGAGAAGACAGGCAAGAAAAGGATATAATGCGTCAGAAATTTCACGAAGGTACAGGTGAGACGGTTATCTGGGAATCCCCAGGGTGTGCCGGTGGACCTTTAATATTCGCGAGAACGCAATGTTATTCAGCTCATTAAAACAAGTTTCAAGATGAGAAGCATTCCAAAGTCTGTCCGAAAATATTTCAGATTAACCCACCAAGTAAGAATATTTTCTGGAAGAAAAAGTACCCGAATAACGTAAGGTCCTTTTTCAAGAACGTTCATCCCATAAGACCCAATGTACCGGACTCATGAGAATAGATCTGAAAAAGACCCCGTAAAATGGTATGTAGCACAGCAAAAAGTAGTTGGAATTAAATCTGTGTAACGAAGTCTTTGAGTTTTCTTACAGTTCTGAATGCGGCAGTCTATGTACAGGTTTATAATTCAAAGCATACAGGATCCATATGGGCAGAGATATCACCATATTAACCGGACTCCTTGATGAAATTTGAGAATCAAGAGGCAGGAAAATCTTACAAGCAGGACGACAGTCAACAACAAGCAAAATTGACAAGAGGATCATGACCACTAAAACTGCTTAAAGAAGGGTAAGTCGACATGAAGGTGTGCGGAATAAGGAAGCAAATCTCCAAAAGCAATATGAAAAGCCTACTTCAAGAGACAAGGACATCTGAAAAACAAAGGAGAGCCGAACAATACTGAGACACGGGCTTAGATGTGTTCTTCATTTGCGTATATTCTCAAACGGTTAGTATACACAACTTAATCCGGCGAAGAACCTCGTTGGTCGACGTTGTTGTGCGAACAGCGGTGATGGGCGATTCAAACTGCCTTTTGAAGAAACCGTATGGACTGTTTTAATACATGTCTTCGTTCTCTGTAAACTCTTCAGATGTATTGAGCAATCATGAGGACAGGCTTCGCGAAGAAAAAGTATTTACAGAAAGACAGAATGCAAATATGCACAGGGAGCAAGCGGTGACTGCGGTGCTGGTGACTGTCGAACTCCTATCTAAGTCATTCACCATACTCCACTCAAATGCGATTTTGTCGACCATCGCACCTATATTTAAAAGCGATAACCGATCTCATACCCAAAACTATTGTGGTGTTCACCGAACACCGGCTATAGCTAAAATCCTCAAAAAATATTCCACAACCAGTTGCTAGACCATCTCATGAACGCCAACTTCATTCCCCCCTCTCAACATGTATTTTACGTCAAACGTCATGTTAGTCCTCCCACATTAGATTTTGGAATTGGTTTCCAGCAACATAGATAATGGAAACACAGTGGCTTCAAATTACTTCGATCTAAAGAAGGCCTTTGACAAAGTCCCCAGCTCTCCGAGTTTTCGTCGAATTTACTTGATAGTATAGGGCAGACTGAACGTCGCGTGGAAATAAATTGCGAACTGACAACGTATCCTTTGGATTTGGATTACAAGTATACCAACTCGAAAGCTCTATCATTATTGGAATTTTCGGATCTCGACGTTATTTCCTAAGGTATCAGGAGGAAGATTCTACCCGAATTCTTCAAGTATCAGCAACACTGATTAGTCTTCTAATTCGCACCGGTGAAGTATACCACAAATTCTCCATCAACAGATATTTGCAATCGTCCGACCATCTGCTCAAGGCTCCTTACTTGACAACTTTTCTCCGAGATCTACATCGAAAACTATAAACGGCTGAGACGTTTCTTATTTAACTTCATAATTGGCAACTTCTTTATTCTAAGAATTGTTGAAAACATCCTGTACTACTCTAGAACTGATTGACGAGTTTGAAAATCATCAACAATGAGCAAATTTGTAATAAAAAACTCGTTCACAAAGGTTGTGTAACCGGGATTTGAACTCGGTACCTGCGGATCTGGAGGCCAGAACGTTAGCCACTGCACTATCGATGAACGGTTTGGCCCTAGTCAGATATGTTTATCAACTACAGAAGAGCACCTGAGAACGGTCTTTAATTAATTAGCAGTCTCTGGCGATAAAATGCCGCTGGAATCATTAGACTCCAGGAAGATTACGCACAATAGGCTCGAAGAGATAAGACAGGAAATAACCCTGCCAGCACCAGCCCCCTCTGGCCCCCTCATGGCCCCGCCTCATGAGGGGACTATGGCGGGGCCAGAGGGGACTATGAGGGGGCTGGAGAGGGGGCTATGGCGGGGCAAATCCCCGATGTGGCCCCCTCTGGCCCCCTCATCGACAAAAAAAATGCGCAGGGGGACGCCTTATAGTTATCGTTCTTTGCCCCCACCCACGGCCATATTAGACTGTCTGACCGTAATACCGATCCATTAACGTCTAATTACTCGCGTTATAATCCTGATCACCCTTCTCCTAGACAGATTTTGCCCGGTATCTGTCCTATTTTATCCCTTGTTACCTTCTAGCGAACCCCATTTCGCCAAATATGTCATGTTTCATTTCGGCTCGCCTTCCCAAAGCCAATATCTCCCGCGACCGTTAGCGGACCTTCACGCGTGATTGCGAACCCCCCAACCAACCATATCGATCAGCACACTTGAACGCAATTTATACGTTAAAGAAAATTTATTGATCGATAAAGATAAAAATTTGATATGTACAAACTATCATGTTTCCTCATGGGACATGTTTGATAATCCGTCCATGTCGGTGGCGGGTATCTACAATAAAATAAAGCACAGCGTCCTATTTATTAAATTGTCAAAAAACAGACTATTGAAATAAGGCATTTAGTAGTATATTTTATGATCTAAAGTAGTTTGAAGTTGATAGGCTCGAATAAGTGCAGGTTTAACAGATATAAAGAAACGCTCACTTGCAGTGTCCTCGGAAGTAGATTGTATCATATATTCTTCGGCTGAGCTGTAGCTGGCGGGAAGCTGAAAGTGGCTTATAAAGACTCAAGTCAATTAATTTACCGTGGTATTTGCAGTGGTATTGTCTCTCCGCTTTGATCGGCCACCGTATCTGTCACGCGCGTCGTGGAACCAATCAATTGTACTCTTGCGAATTGTGTCAACGGTGCAATTTGAGAAGGCGGCGTGTTCAAGAATTGCAGCTGGACAAGTAATCGTAAAAATAAATATCCTACCAATAACAAGGCCTTAAAGGGGGCTGCCGACGAAGGCCTGCTTATCTCTTGCTCCGCCCCAGCAGAAACTGAGGCATAGGG